GATAGATAGATAGATAGATAGATAGATAGGGAGGGAGGGAGGGAGGGATAGATAGATAGATAACAGAACAATTAGATGAATGTGAGACCTAAGGATAGAAGGATGGAGGGAGACATTTTAAGGCATACAAGCTTTGATGCCAATAGAATGGCTGGCCGGGGGTCTGTTAGGAGGTCATGAGTTTGTCCACTCCATTATACAGAACAAAGAGTTGGATGTTTCCAGAGAAGCATAAATAGTTGAGGTGGTTTGGTGAGGTAAAGAGGACAGGATGAGGACAAGATCCCAAACCAAATCTAGAGCGAATGAGTGAAGAGGCAGGCGAAGACCAAAAGTGGCCAATGGAGAAGCCAGCTGTGTTTTCTTCTGCAATATCTCGGCTTTCTTCGGCTCTGCATTTTGCACAATGCTGCTCATTTCCAAAGGAAAGAGGGTGATTGGGGGGTGGGGGTGCCATGCCAGGATTAAGGATGTTGCTAAACTACAGCTCCCAGCATCCCCCTGTGGCCTTTGGTGATTGCCATTGTGGTTAGGCAACAGCTGGAGGTCGCACTGTGCCCCACCCCCCATACAGCTGGGTTAGTGAGAATCAGTTTGATCTGTTCAGTATTAAGACCTCTTTTTGTCCAGATAAAAGCGGCTCTGATGAAAATTAAAACGAGCATTAAGAGGGTTTTGTAATTTTTCACCACCTCCCTGCATTTATTCTTCTAGAGCCAAAAGGAAGTAATATTTTCTCAGCTTTGGTGCCTCACCTGCCCCTCCATGTGACGCCCCCCCCTTTCCAAAGGCAGCTTCCCCCACCCCCCACCCCAGAGCTGATAAACACAGCAGAGAGAAGAAGCTGCTGTTACAAGTTTTTATTGTGGGGTGAGTTTAAGTCCAGGTGGAGACTTCGCATGTCCACATCATTCAGTTAGATGGTGGAGACTCAGAGGATGGGGGGGGGGCAGGGGAGGAGGAGGAGGCAGAGAGGGCAATTTCCCTTCCAGGCAATGAATCCTTCCATTGTCAATGGCTGAACTATAACATTGCCAGCTTTCTGGGACAATGACTCATCCCGTCTCTGGGAGCAGAAAATTAAGTATAATTTATGCCTTGCTAATTGAAATCAAATAGAAAATTCAATCTCTCTGTGCCAGGGAGGCTGACATTTAAACAGGGAAGACAAAACAGAAAAAAAGAAAGGAAAAAGGAACGTTTCCTGAGCTGGTGGCTTCCTCAGAAGACAGACGGTCTTCTTGCACAGCAAAAGGCGAGGCTGGCAGAGGAAATGAACCAGCCGTCCAGAAAACAGGAAACCGGCAGCATTTCATACAGCAGAATTGCCCCCCTCCGCTCCTCTGTTGGGAAGGGCCACACCAACCATTAAACACCAGGGCAGCCTCCCCCACCGGGATGCCACTTTCCAGAACGGGCTCCCCGAGAACAGGGCGATCTCCTCCGTCTGCTCAGCGGCTCAACCATAGCAAAAATAAACATCTGAAGACACGGCGCAGGATGCAGGACGTGTGAAATGGCTCTTCTTCCCCAGCTGGGGAGCAAGGGCACCCAGCCCCCCCTCTTCTCTCTGGACAGCAGAGATGTCTCCAAGGCAGAGCTGGGGCTCTCGGGGCGCCCTCCTGGTCTCGGAAAGTGGGAGGAATCAGGCGGCAAATGGTTGCCCTGAAGCCTCTTCAGTCTGCTGAGCACTCATCCCCAACACTGGGGAGGGGGCAGTTGGCCCTTGGAAGTCAGGCCAGGCTCTCGTCACTGCAGGTGGATCTGCATGGAGGGAAAGAAGAAGCATCACCTTGTTACATGAGCAGCAGCAGCAGCCCGTTCAGAGAATGGCCCCCACGGAGTTGGAGCCCCTGCTTGGGATGACCCACTGCCCATCTGGCAGACGAAGACATTGCCCAGGACCCCCGTTAGCCATCCCCCTTGACAGCTGCTCCTCAGGCGCTTCAGGCTCTTTGGTCAAAGGTCCCACTGGCTGTTTCTCACGAGAGATGTGCCTGTTTACACCGTTTTGTCAGGGGCAAGAAGGAGAGGTGGGCTGTGGCTTCTGTCAGTGGGGCAGATGAGAGGGGCAAATGTGCCCCAGGATGCGAGCCAGAACCTCACTCATCAACCACACCAGATGATGATGAATCAACTGGAAGGAGAAGCCATGTGGCCTTGATCACCTTGTTCATAGGCCAGGCTGCCGGTCCTGGCGGAGCACACAGGCCAGGCCAGCAAGCAAGGAGGGGGCCCACCTGGGGGAATCGGGAGTCAGGGTCTGAGGGGATGAAGGCGCCTTCTCCAAATCCTCCAACATGTGAAACTGCCCCGGGGGGAGCCTGGGGGTGGGGAGGAGGAAGCAAGTGGCACAGCCCACTCAGACCGTAACCGACGGTTTCTTTTCCCTTTTTTTACAAAGTCATCTACCTGAACACTTTAAATCCTTGCAAAATGGATTGCGTGACAACATCGTTCTCATTTAATAGATTAAGTCAGAACTTAATCATATGTGAAAGTCAGCTCTAGCACATACTTCATTTTTTGTTTGTTAGATTTATAGTTGCTTTTCCTCCTCAAGAGAAGAGAATAAGGACACTATGTCTAGAATATATAGACTTCATTTGGAAATGTAAACAAAAAGGGACATTTTACCATGTTTAGTGAAAGTGTAAAAAGCTAGACAATTCTGGATTGAAATACTTATGTACAGGATCTGAAAGATTAACAATTGTGATCAGAGGTTTTTCTAGTGGGATTGAAAGACAAACAGTTGGGGGGGAAATCATGGAATTTTGTTTTGTACATGACAGTTAGTTGCAGTGACATTATTGTATGTACAAAGATGGAAGAAGATGATGGACAGTTGGTGAAGATGATGGAACTTGCTACTGTTGGGCAGTCCCTTATGGACTTTTTGCACAAAACAGAAAAAATAAATTTACAATGTATGGATTTTATGCCTAAAGCAGGACTAGAACCCACAGCTACCAGTTTCTGGCCTGCTCCTTTAACAGCCACACCAGACTAGCTCTCAGTAAAGTTACCTATATAAAAACAGAGAACTCATAGGGGGACCAACTTCCATTTTACCCCAACCACAAACATGATGTCCCCCTTCTCTTTGACCTGGGCTGCAGCAGCCCATTTCCGCCCCTTCCATCTGAGAGCAGCACCAGCGCACATTTCTCCTTGGAGATCCCTGATTGTCAAAACACAAGGCTGCAGGCAGGACAGGGAGCCATCTCGAAAAGTTGGACCCCAAAACCAGCTGAGCGGGGCTTCGGAGGGGGACAGCTGGAAGGAGAACAAGAAAGTTGTGAACAGTTATGGAGGCTGGATTTTGAACCCAAAACCTGAGGCATCTTTAGGTAATTGCAATTCTGTGATCTTGTGGAAGGCCACAAAAAATGAAACATGAAATTTGACCAGATTACGGAAAGCTGTTGTGCTGCAGCCTTGCTGTAGTGGGAGCACAAACCTCTTGTTGTTTTGCACCTGAAGCCAGAGGTGCTCTCAGGTCAGAAGCCTAATCGACCCCACAAGTTCTTGCCACCTTACCTTTTCTGTGTGCTGCTGGGCTTCTGTGAATGCCACCTTTGGTGCCCTGCCTGTGAAGACAGCTCCTGCCCAGGGGGCTTGGTGCATGGCAGCGCCCAGCTCTGGCACTCTGCACGCCAAGGAGAGCCAGGGCCGCCTTCCCCAACCTGTTGGCCTGAGTTGGGAGGACTAGTGTGGCTGGAGTCCCAACTGGAACGAGGGGAAGGGTCGGGATTGTAAACGCTCACAAAGGCTGCTCCCCCCGCCCAGTCCTCCGGCCGCAAAGGGGTTTCCTCCCTGGGAGAAAGCCATTATTTACCTCTGAAGAAAAAGCCGTTTGCCGCGGCTGTATCACATCCCTGTCTGCTGCTGCTGCTCCCACTGGAAATCCTGGCCCGTCATTTGGTAAAACATGACGTTGAAGGGCTTGTAAAACTTGCGCAGCCTCTGAATGACGTCCCGGTCGATGACGGGGTGAGTCCGGCCCTTGGACTTGCCGAGGCACCGGGGCGCGCCGCTCTCCTCCGGCTTCTTGAGGCAAGGGAAGCCCTTGGTCTGGTTGAAATGGAAGTACTTCTCGGTCACCACCCTCCGCAGGCCCAGGAAGGCCTGTACCTTGGCCAGCTCCCCCGCGGGGTCCGAGATGAGCCGCTCCCCGCTGACAAAGTGCATCTGGGCCAACGGGAAGTACTGGAGCCAGCTCTCCAGGTGCAGCGCGTAGAGGCCGATGCGGAGGGCGCTCCAGGAGGCATCGATCAGCCCCAGAGTCCGGTTCTTGAAGGCCAGCACCTCGAAGGTGGCGATCTCGGGCTTCTTGGAGAGCGTCTGCGTGTAGTCGGAGATCGCCCGCGTCACCGGGTCCCGAACCACCACGATCAGCTTGGTGTCCTTGGCCATGGCGTGGATGCGCCCGGCCGCCTCACCCGTCACGAAGTAGCTGGGCGTCTTCTCCATGGTCAGCTGGCCTTCCAGGGTCCGCGGCATCAGCTCCCTGCAGGGCGAGAAAGCGCGAGAGGTGTCAGGGCCCGCCGGCTCCAGGCCGGGCGGGTACGGAAACGGGGTCCCGGGGAGCCGTTAGGCCGCCCTTCACCGCGGAGCTCGGCAGGCAGAAGTTAATTGGCCATAAAAGCCGCCCGTCCCAGCCCGAGCAGCCGCCGCCATCTGCTCAATTAAGTCTATTCACTTCGGAGTCTTGCATCAAAGTGGAACATTTAGGATTACACGAGACCTTTTTGTTATGATGACATGCTTTTAAATGTCTCTGCTAATAAACCTAGTATAGGCAGAGATCCCTCAGCGCTTGTCCCGTAATTAAATGTATTTACTATCTCACAGGGAGGAGCAATGACTGCCTTTTATCTCACCTTCCCAGGCCTTGTCAATAATTAATGGCTGTGGGGTTTCAAGAGAAACTTCCCAGCCACTTCAGGGAAAGGGGGGGGGCAACTGGCCCTGAACCTGAAGCCTAGGGGGTGGCCGGGGGGTGGGTGGGCTCCTGCCAGACAATGGCCTCAAACTCAGCCGCTCAATTCTGACCTGCTCAAGGTCAGAACAAGAGCTTTCAAAGAGGCCCACCTACTGGGGGACAGAGGAAAGCTCCTGCATGGAGCACCCCCCTCAGCAGAGCCTTGCCAGAGCCTGTCCCACCTTGCTGGGCCACCTCCCTGGTAGCCCCTGGCCAGAATGCGGCTCCTCAGCTGCTTGACTGGCTGGCTCCAAAATGGACCTCCGTGGGGGGGGGGGCAGGAAGGAAGATGGGAAAAAGGGAGATTCCCCACAAGCTGGCCTCCGCTCTTCCAAGTGGAACACCCAGAAGCCCCCCACCCCACCCTAGGCAAGGAGCATCTCCTCCACTGCCCATTGGACACGGTGGTAAGGAAAGGCTGCCATTTACAGCATTGTGGAGAGGGGTTCCGTGCCGTGCCCCCCCTCTCGAGGATTTCCTTCTGGCCCAAAGGAAAAGTTGGCAGAAAACGGGGCACCCTCCACCAGCCTCCCCCTCTGCAGATTCTGTTGCCCTTTGCTTTGGAGGGAGGGAGATATATGATGGTTCCAACAGAGGATCCTGCCCTGATGCCCATCCCCCATCCTGGTTCAACCCACTTGGAGGCCCTGCCTCACTGGGAGAGCAAGGCTGGATCAGGGAGGGGCTTGGTCCCCCCACCCAATCCTCGGTGGGGCTGTCTGGTTCTGGGTTGAGATTAGGAACACCTCCCCCCTTTGCTGCGGGGAGCCCTAGTCTCCCAATTGCTGTGTTGGGAAATAACCAACATTTCCAGTCTGGATTTTTGCTTCATGCCAGCAGAGGCTGCATCTTGCCGGCAGCAGGAAATTCCTCTTCTCTCTTCCTGGTTTCAGCAAATGCTGCTTTTAAAAGCAAAATCCTTGGAGAGGAAGTGATGCTTTTGTCAGGGCTGTTCCAATTTTGGAGCCTGCCTGAATTTGTATGTCTCCCGCCTTCCTCCACGGTTCATGCCTGTCCAGTGGGTTCTCCTGTCCAGTGGCTGCATCACCCTCTCTGCCTGGGCAGCCTACTCATTATTCAGGAGTGGGGGAGGGGTGGAAGGGGCAACCAAGGGGGGCTGCCAGAAATGGGGGGAGGACTGGAGTGGTGCAAATCTCATGTTGCAGTGGGGATCTCCCACCCACTTCTCCTGGCGAGGATATTTTCAAAGGGATGTGCCTGTTTGAAGCAGCAGGGGAGCCAAACTCCTGGGGCTGAATTTGTCCCACTGAACGGGAAGGAAAGGACCCCCTCTGTTGCTGTTCCATTTTGCACAGATGAAGCATCTGGTAAGCCTCTGTCTGATCTCTGAATCCATAATCAAGACTAAAAGCATTAATGCTGAGAACTGTTTCAATCCCTCCCTCCAGTTTCTGCCAGTAAACAACCAAAACTCTACAGCTGCCATTCTGGGGGGTGGGGGTAGCAGCATGCGGGTCGCCCTCTGGCCTGACTCAAAAGGCTGGATGCATCAAAGACTGATGACCTCAAGGACAGGTATCTCAAAGGGGGTGGGTGGGAATTGTGTTGTGTTTGGATGAAAGCAACAGATCTGATGGATGGCACTGGTGGGCACCTGCCTGAGCAACTCTGCAGGAAGATACCCCACTAGAACCAAAGGAGCTTGGCCCCCTTGGGCTGCGTGCCATGGCAGGGAGGCTCTTCCTGCCTCACACGGAGGCCTGGCATAGGAGAAGCAGCTCGCTCTTTCCTTGGCCTGCCTGGTGTATCTCCCTGGGCTCCGGATGAGGCAGCTCGTGTCTGTGGAAAATAATTGCACACAACTGGCATTGAGAGAAGCTGTAAGAACACATGAGGGGAACCAGAAACAGCTGCAGAGGTTGAATGGCAGCCAAAGATTGAAGGTACCCAGAACATCTGGGAATTCCTGAGCCTGCTAGAAGTCTGCATGAGGGGAACAGCTGAGGTAAGGCAAAGGAACAGAGAAGGTAGGCAATTCCCCCCCCCTTTTCCCTAGTAAGCCGAAGGAAGGAATAGATTGTCTGGTGGGGGATGGTAAGTCACGAAGCACCTTCCCCAAAGCTGCCATTGCCCCTGAACAAGAATGGGGAGGAGAGAGTGGTGTGGGTGTTTCTGTGCTCTCTAGAGCCACAGCAAAAGCAGCCAATGGAGAGATGGGAGTAAATGCTTCTCAGGGACCAGAGAAGTCCCATAGATGTTGGCCTCCTTCAGGTCCTCTTCCAGGCCAGTCCTGGAGAATGTTGGCTTACACTGGTGGTGGTGCTACTTCTGAAGGACTTTTATTGTTGGGCTCCCTTGATCTGGCTTCTGCCATTCTTGGTGGCCCCAAGATGGAGCTCCACAGTGACCCTCAACAAACAGCAAGCCACCTTGGCCTGAACATCAGATGTATGAATGAGTCCCCAACCAAGACTTTAAACTTTGGCTTCCCAATTACTCTCTTTGAAAAGGAGATGGTTTCTGTGGCTGATTTAGCCCAGCACTTCCTGAGAATGTGCAGGAAAATCAGGAAAACCATCCTTGGGAATGACTGCCCGGGTTCTCAAAAACCTCCAGAGTGGGGAAAGCATTAATTCCTGTTCCACTGTGGTACAGATCTTCCCCTTAGGGAGTTTTCTCTCATATTCAAGCAAAATCTGAATAGTTGCAACTTGTCCTCATTATTTCTGGTTCTTTCCATGACTTCCCTTTATAAAGCTGAGCTATCTATCACACTCCCCTCAGTCTTTGTTCCTCCCAAGTCCCTTCAGTCTGTCCTCTGAGGGCAAAACCTCAACATCCTGCACAGAGGTGGCATTCAGCAGGTTCTGACCAGTTCTGGAGAGCCGGTAGGGGAAATTTTGAGTATTCTGGAGAACCAGTAAAAACCACCTCTGACTGGCCCCACCCCCATCTATTCTCTGCCTGCAGAGTCCCAGCTGATTGGGAGGGAAGGGGGATTTTTCAGTAACCTTCCCCTGCCACGCCCACCAAGCCACACCCACAGAACCGGTATTAAAAAAATTGAATCCCACCAGTGATCCTGCATCATCTTCATTGTCCTCCTCTTGGCTTCTTCTAACCCATCATATCCTTTTAAAACAGACGTCCAGCACTGTACACAGCATTCCAGATGTTACATATTTCTCTTCTAATGCAGCCAGGCCTGTCTTATCCCCTCTCCTTCATGTTCAACTTATTCTCAGTGCCCAAATACTTCTCAGATGCCCTAATTTTTTCTTCTACATGTTGTATTTTTCACCGTACTGAAGGACACCTTTGTCCTCTCAGCTCAGTCTCCCAACCTGTCAGATTAAGTTGCAATCGCATTGCCATCTTGAGCATTGACAAGACTTCCCAATTTCATGTTATCCACAAACAGCTCATCAGACGTCACGTAGGCGGGAGATTAATAATAATTGCCAAGACCGATCCCTGCCTTAATGCTGAGTCATTCACATTGCCCGCCCCCCGAGGGCAGCCAGTCCTGTGGACCCTCCTTATTCTAGTGCCACCCAAACCTCATCCACAAGAGCACTCCTACCCCATGCCCCATTTTCCCAAGCCTGGCATCTCTACAGAAATTGCACAACGGCAGATTTCTGCCGCCATCATCCCTGTCCTCACAAAATCAAAACTCAAAAGAAGGCCAGGTTGCTGACGCTTTTACAAATCCCGACTGCTCTTTCCAAGGACAGCCAGGCTTTTGCTTGGGTGACTTCAACCCAGCACAAATGAACAGCTCCGAGCCATTCTGGAGCCCCAAAAGGCAGTGCACGCGAAAGCTTCACAGTAGAAAAGACACACATCCGGTGCCTCTCCTGCGTACTGGCTGGCTTCCCACACTGCTCCTAACCACAATGGCTGGCTTCACCCAACATGGTAAACCAAAGCCCAGCAAACCAGCATGAGATGAAACTGCTCCAACCGGGTGCCTGTTTTTGTTGGAATCTTTCTGTAGAAATTCAAGGGGAAGAGGAGATCAGGTGGCCATCCTGTTGTCCCCCAATTCATGGATCCTCAAAGCACCTCTTCTGATGCTGATGAGGAGAGCATGGCAAACTTAGTCATTGCATAAACTTTGTGATACGTTACACCCTAATTTCTGGTTTAGCCTCTGGATTTAGCAGAAGTTTCCACCCTGACTCATTAGCTATCTCTTTCCAGCTAAGGTGACCTTAAGTTCTGAAGCCCCTGATTCTATCTGCCTGCTGTATGTTGCCATCTGTTTTCTCCTCTTTATCTATCCTAACTGGTCATATAATTAATTATATAATTTATTAAATTTATATGCCACCAAATTTCCAGCTACTTGGTTTATTCATTTTCCATAATTCTGGGAGTAAAAAGGAAGAGACAACTCTTCCAACAGCCATGAGAAAGTATATTTGTACAAGAGAAAAACACTGTTTTTTTCTTTTAATTTCTTAAGCCTTCCCCAATACAGCCACCTCTTATTGTTGCATCACAGTGTAGCTACACCGTGGAGAGGAGAAGGCAGCATGCCCACTCCTGTGGGCCAGGCCGCTGAAGAACTAGAAGCCTCGAGTCATATCAAACAGCTGCCGCTTTTGAGAAGAAGCACAATATGAATTGATCTGATAACACTGGTGGCTGATCTCTTTTCGCAACCCAGCTGCCTCCTGTGCCAACCTGAAGTTATCCCTCAAAATATGAAGGTGTATAACAAAAACACTAGGGCTGCTTCCCTCCCCACATTCAACACATACTTTTCAAGGTTTTCTGATACTAACTTTAGCAGCAAATTGGTAGAATCCAAAATAGAAGAAGGGGGATGAGAAGGTCCAAGTTGCTACAGCAACTGCCAGATGGATCTGGAAAATATACTGAAAAGAAAATCTATGGGAACCAGAGGGCCGCTTTCAGTTCCGGTCACTGCGTGTCCCCTGTACACATAATCCGTTTTTTGGCCTCAACGCAAGAGGTGCCCCTAGTGAGCCTATGAAAGGCAACTGGCAGCTTCTAACACCTCCACAGCAGATGGAAAGTTCCCATATCCCATTCCTTTACTCAAAATTCAAAGGGGAGAAAACTGGAAAGTCTTAGCATTGAATGTGGGAGATGTTCTCAAATAAAATGAATGTAGCCTTTGGAAAGGAATCCTGTGTTAAGAACCTGGTGCCCTAAACTATTAACTTCTCACCCAGGGTGTAGCTGGATGGCATGGCAACTGAGTGGCTGAACCGAAGGAATGCTCACAATGCTCCCAGGCCTTCTACCCTTCTATGCTTGCATTAATGACTTAGTAGAGGAGCTGGAGGGAACGTCAATCAAGTCTGAGATACAATTAGGAGGAAGTGTAGAAGACAAAAAAATTCTTGGTAGCTTAGAGAAATGGGCTGAGATTTAACAGATCATTAGGAAATTCTTCACTTGAGAAAAAGGAAGAAAAATGTCCTGGATATCAAATGAAGGAGACTGAGATGCTTCAAATATGTGAGAGGATTTTGGACCAGCAGTGATACAAGCTGGGAATGAGTCAGCAGCTTGATGTGGCTGCAAGAAGGGCAAATATATTGTTTGGAAGTATAATTTCCAAATCATGGGAAATTAACCTATATCATCCCATCTAAGTTTAAAACAGAAGCATCATAATAAAAGTAAAAATAGTCAACAATCCTAGTTAGTGCACGAATCGTGTGTGAATATTTTACAATAATGAAGCCAGCCTGGTACTCTTAGAGCATCCATTTTAAGGAAAAAAGCCACAACTGAACACACAAAGTGAAAAATGAGCCACGGATGGGGCCTGTTGGGGATGTGACCTAATTTCTCCAGGGTTTTGGGTGGGCTTAGGAAATTCAGCAGGAGCAGGATCCCCCTGAGAGGCAGCTGGAGCGAGACCTCACTCCAAATAAGCTGTGGGCTCCTTCCAGCGATAAAATGAGACAAAGGCACCAATGGGAGTCCAGATACCCTCTTAGACACTGTGATCCAACGGTGCTTTGGAGCCCCCTCACAATGCTGAGGCCCTGGGGTGCAGGAGGCACCAGAGGCTCTACAGGCACTTCTAACCCCCAGGGCAGCCAGTGCCCAATGCTGCCTTCCCAACCCAGCCTTCCGATGGCTCTTCCACAGCCCAGGCCATGTTGGGCCAGGGGAGGGGTGCCTGGTGCTGTGTTCTGGGGAGAGGACAATCCAGATTCCCCTGGCTGAAGTGGTTTCCGGAGGAAACCTGGTGGTCCATTGGTCAAGCAAAAACAAGGCATGCCAAGAACATCCCCCTAGGCCCTCCGATGTCATCTTCTGACCCTGAGCTGTAAACTCCTCTACATGGGGCTACCCTTGAAAAGTGTTCGAAGACTTCAGCTAGTCCAGAATGCAGCCGCGCGAGC